GGTGGGATCACATCAAGGCATAACTGAAGGTGGGATCACATCAAGGCATAACTGAAGGTGGGATCACATCAAGGCATAACTGAAGGTGGGATCACATCAAGGCATAACTTCTGCATTCCATGAAAATCAAGAAATCAAGGGAGGGCAGGAGGATATGGGACTATGGAGCTGTGGGAAATGGAGACTCCATGATAGGAAGGAGTGCATTTCTCATCAGCATTGTGCCTGGAGCATGGCACACCCAGGTCCTGATCTGGTTTAGCCTCTTTCTCCCCTACCTTTCATTGCCAGCTCTTGGATAATAGAAGACCAACTTTCCAAGAGCAAATTGGATAGACAACCAGGTTGGCCCATTTTCTACAATGACTGATAATGTATTTCCAGGCTGTCAGGCAACACCTTTCTAGCTTCATCTGGACATGTTGGGCTTTGAATTAGCATGAAAAGCATGAACTTCCATCTAGCAATGACCTTCTCTCTTTTGTCCCGTGCACGGTAGGTAGCAAGCCTATTGGCTTCCACCTTTTAAAAAGCAAGCTTCTAGTTCTTAAGACCGCCAAGATACACTATATTTAGGAAGTGTCTGGAACTTGATCAGCCATGGAACCATACTAGGAAAATCCATAAAGGAAGGCGGGGAGACCTTTGTCGAATTAATCAAGTGTTGCTTTTCTTTTCAAAAGGTACAACATCGCTTCACTGCTGGAAAAACCAAACATTTACTTATCGGGAAAAAGGAATAAAAAAATTAAAATGACATCCGTGGATAATCACCCAATCCCAGCTGCAATCTGGCTGACACTTCATAGTAATTTTTCTGCCTTGTTGTTCATTTCTACGGAGGTGGGTTTGTTTGTCTTTTTAATTTCATTTTGCTTTTGGGGGAATGCTCCTGTTTGACATTCAAGCTTTGTTCTGTCTGGCAAGATGGACAGCGAAGCTCCTGTGATTTTCAACAAAGAAGAGATCAGTTTGGTCTACAAACAGTACTTGGCAGAGTCACGGAGCCTCATCTGGGAAGATAGGACGGTCCAGTACAAGTGTTTCCTCCAGATGAGATGAAGACCTCCTCCAAGGAAATGAAGCTGTGGGTGTCCATCACCACCAGTGTTAGCATGTTCTTGGGAACCACCAAGCAGATGTACTTGGTGCACAAATACAACATCTGCTATTTCTGTTGGTCTCCAGGCCAAGCTCAGAAAACAGGATGTGATCCCAGTTGTCTTTCCTCTGCGATGTTAGACTTCAAATGCAGAGCCTTGTGACCAGAGGTTTCCTGACATAGCTTCTCCTTTATATCCTTCAACTATCTAATGCAAATGGTGTATGCAGAGCTGGTCAAGAGTCCCTCAATGTTAGCGTCATGAGAAAATTTAGCTTTGCAGATCCAGAGATCATATTGTAGTGCTCTTCCCCATGAATCTTCCTCAGCTTCATCAGGGGAGCAAACCATGCCAGTGCTTAGAGGACCATCCAGTGTAAAATGCCACTTGGCTATTCCATAGCTAGCCCTCCCAGCCAAGAGGAGGTCACACCAAGCCCAGAAAAGCTGGAAGTATTGATTCAGTCCAATGGGCAATTCTCTCCCTCCTCAATTTAGCAGGGAGGAATTACGGGCACAAATTCTCCGAAAGTAATAAGTAGACAGGCAATGAATCAAAGATCCTGAGGACACGGCTTGCCTGGCTATCAGAAGGAAGGGCCAACAAGGGTAGATGTCAGACAGCAGAGAGATCGATCCTGTTGCCAAAATGACTGCTCTTGTCAGAAGTGTTGAGTTTTGTTGGAGTTGTTGCAGGCCTGGTCCCTGTTACCTGGATTGAGAAAGAGAGAATTCAGACCATAGTTGGAGCACTGAGCAAACTGCCAAATATACCTGCATGCTTTCCCTAATGCACCTCTTTGTTTCAAAATGAGACTCGTCTAGATCAGCTTTTTGCATCGTATGAGAGACCTCCCAAGCACAGACAAGAAGGCGACTGCCCATTGCTAGAGTTGGTCCCCAACAGCTGGTGTTTCAGAGATGTGACCTATGATCCCAGTGTTAAGGTAGAGTCCATTTAGATTAGCAGTGTTTGATGGCCCATTCTTCCATGAATTTACTAGATCCTTCTCAAGTCCACCAGGTTAAGAGGACAATGTTTGTGCAACATGTTTAATTACTGAATTCACCCATTTGATGGGTTGGAACATTATGTTGAATCATCAGCTTCTAAAATGGGCTGGATTGTCCCAACACACTGAGCTTAAACATCATAATCAAGGTTCAACCTTCCCAATCTTAGCAGGTTGTGAAAATGCTGCTGCTAAGTCTTTAGTTGACCTAGGTTGCCATGTTGCATGGACATTGCCAACAAGTACAATGGAAGCAGCATTCTCCCATGGATCGATCTATCTATCTATCTATCTATCTATCTATCTATCTATCTATCTATCTATCTATCTATCTATCT